AAAAAAAAAAAAAAAGGTTGGGAGTGGTGGCACACGGCTATAATCCCAGCAGTTAAGAGGCTGAGGCAGTATTGCTGCAAGTTTCAGGCCTGCAGGGGCTACAAAGTGAATTTAACACCAGCCTGAACTATATTACAATACCTTGCCTCAAAAACAAAAAGACAAAAACCAAAATTTTATCACAGGAAAAATTAAGAATTGGTTCAGGTGCTCTGTAACACAATAGGTTAACTCTAATCTACAGTAATGTTTCAAAATAGCTAGCGGAGTCTAAAGGTTCTCAACACATAGAAATAATAAATAAGGAGATGGAAATATGATTTGATCATTATATGTAGGGGATAGTAATGGAAACTGAACTCAAGACCTTCAAACTAAGGTACATCCTCAGTCATTTTTCTTTTCTTTTCTTTTTTTTTTTTTGGCGGAACCGGGGATTGAACTCAGGCCCTTGTGCTTGCCAGGCAAGCACTTATTCTACTGAGCCATGTCCCTAGCCCCTCATTTTTCATTTTTGACAGGGTCCCAGGCTGGCCTCAAACTTGTGATCCTCCTGCCTCAGCCTCCCAATGGGACCTCAGCCTCCTAGGAGGAAGGGATTATAAGCATATGCCACCATGCCCGGCTCACATTATATACAAGTATGGAGTAAGTGTACTCTACCCCATAAATGTGTACAAATAATGCATTTCAATTAAAAAACATGGAAGCTGAGCATAGTAATTTCAGCACCTAGAAGGCTAAGGCAGAAGGACCACTATTGAATCTGAAGCCAACATGAGCTACATAAGCAAGTCTAAGACCATCCTGAACTATATAGTCAGTCTCTCTCTCTGTCTAAAAAACAGGAAAAAAAAAAAAAAAAAAAAAAAAAAAAAAAAAAAAAAGACAACAAAAAATAATATAAAAAAAATATATATAGAAGATATTTACATAAAATTCTAGGGAACTGTAGCAACAGAAGGCCAATTACGCCCAGGCCTGTTGGTGCATGCCTGTAATCCCAGCATTCTGGAAGGTGAGGCAGGAGGATCCTTCCAAGTTTGAGACCAGCCTGGGCTACAAAGTGGGTTCAAAGACAGCCTGAACTGCTGAGATCCTGTCTCAAAAAAGAGTTTTTAGGGCTGGTGAGATGGCTCAGTGGTCTAAAGCACCTACTTAGAACAAGCTTAGCAAAGCACAGAGACCGCGGTTCAATCCCCCAGCACCACATGCCAGCCAGCCCCGCCCCTTGGTGGGCTGAGCTGGCCACACACACACACACACACCCACACACACACACACACAAATAAATAAAATTTTTTTTTAAAAAAAAGAGTTTTTAGAAGGTCAATCTGAGGGCGGGTAAGATAGCTCAGTGGACCAAGCACCTGCTGTGGCAAGCCCAGGGACCAGGATCCCTGGTCCCACGTGCCATGCTGGCCTCACCCCCGGGGACATGCTGAGCCAGTGACAGAATCCAGGCATGGTGGCGCGCCTGTAATCTCAGTGCTGGAGAGGCTGAAAACAGGAGGATCACTACAGGTCCAAGCTGTATAGTGAGACCCTGTGCCAAATACATAAATTT